GCCATTAATTACTTGCTCCTGCATTGCAGGGAATCTATTCTGCTCCCTGTGCCTGTCTAACAGCTCACGAGACTGGTTTTCCTGAGCATAACCAGTCTTACTGTTAAAAACTGAGACAAAGAAGACATTAAGTACCTCAGCCTTTTCTTCATCTTCACAGTGACAGTGTTCCCCTCTGTGTTCAATAACGGATGGAGATTTTCCTTGGCCCTCCTTTCATTGTTGATGCATTTATAAAACCACTTTTCATTGTCTTTCACAGTGGCAGCCAGATTGAGTTCCAGTTGAGCTTTTCCTTTCTAATTTTCTCTCAACATGACCTAATGAGATCCTTGCACTCTTCCTGAGTTGCCTGTTCCTTCTTCCAGAGATGATAAACCCTCTTTTTTTGCTCTGAGTTCCTGTTATACTGAAAATAGTGATTAACGGGTCAAGCTTCAGAGTTGTCTTTGGACAGCATTTTGGTGCATATCAACAGTGTATTATCAAGGCAAATCTACTGCCCTCACTTATCATGCTTCGACTCTCTTCACAACGCCATCTTTGCAACGCACTTTCTAATGTAACCAAACTGGAAGATGGATTCCATGAGTGCACATAATATGTTTCAGTTGCTAATGTGGATGCAAGATACTCAACCCAGTGATCAGGCTGCAGCCCCTTAAATCCTCCAGTGCATAACAAGCACAGAGGTAGACATAACAGCTCTCATTACGTACAGCTGTTGTCGTTTAGGAATGGTAGTCCCCAGTTTAGTGCTCCCAATGAGACTCTCCAAACCAGGCTGCTCCTCACTCGCTCCCCCTTCTCCTCCTCCTGCAGGTGGTTGGAGAGGAGAACTGGAGCCACAAAAGGTAAAGATCACAGGTTGAGATGAGTACAATTTACTGGAAATAGCAATGAGATAAGAAAGCAAACAGTTAAGAGCGACAATACTAATGATAGTACAAGAGAGAGGCGAACAGTTCACATGGAAACCCCCTGACAATAGACAATACCCAATCTGTCTCATCAACAACTGATGAGACAACCAGCATCTAGGGTAAAGTATAAACACAATAAATAATATTTTTAAGAATATAAATTAAGAAAATAAAGTATTTTCTATGCGGAAAAGATATAAACTTATCTTCAGCGGAACCCAGGCCTTCCAAAGCAGCATAGCACTACTGTTCACATAACAGAAGGCCTAGGCAACCACGAAATGCATGCACTACTGCACCTCCTGCCCAGCAAAGCAGTGCAGCCATCTGTTCCCATCCCCAAGGCCAAACATGCAGACTGCACAGGTAGTTGAGTTAGCAGAAGAAAAGGCATCTCAGTTCCTCAACTGTCTCGTACAGATAGATAGAGTGTGTATTCCTGAATGAGTGACTGTACCTCTCTGCCCTGCTCTGGTGACACTCTACCTGGAGCACCACATCTAGCTCCGGAATCCTCAGTACGGGAAAGACATGGACTTGTTGGAGCAGGTCCAGAGGAGGGCCACAAGGATTAGGGCTGGAGCCCCTCTGCTATGAGGAAAGGCCGAGAGAGTTGGAGTTGAACAGCCTGGACAAGAAAAGGCTCTTTGTAGATCTTAATGCAGCCTTTTAGTACTTAAAGGGGGCTTACAAGAAAGATTAACACACACTTTTTAGTAGGGCCTGTAGTGATAGGATAAGCTTATAAAGGGTAGATCCAGACTAGATATAAGGAAGAAATTTTTTACAATGAGAGTGGTAAAACACTGGCACAAGTTTCCCAGAGTAGTAATGGATGCCTCATCCCTGGAACTATTCAAGGTCAGGTGGGACAGGGATCTGGGTAACTTGATCTGGTTGGAAATGTCCCTGCTCTCTGTAAGGGGGCTGGACTGGGTGACATTTGAAGGCCCTTTCCAACTCAAACTATTTTATGACTCCATGATTCAATGATACTCTGGGATGGTAACTGAAGAAGAAAAGCCAACATAGTAAGCAGATACTATTCATGCAAACAGCAAGGGACTGACCCTAGTCAACGGACCAAGCCAACTTCACCTAACCGTAAACAACACCCAAATATCAGTAGGCATTTGGAGAACAGGTACCACATATAGCTGGACTACAGATATGCAGATCATCAGTTAAGAGGGGACATCCACACCATAAAGGGGATAAGTAAAAAATACTCAAGACACCAGTGAATGACTTGTTACGGCTATAAGATAGCCTAAGTGTAAGACTGTTTTGTGTACTAGTATTTACCCATTAGATAAGTAATAAACAACTGACCTAAGTAGAACTGTTTGGTCATTTGTGCATTTACTACAGTATCCAAAAGAACCACGGCAAGCAATCAGACAGCGTCTGATCTGCACTAAGTTGCCTATCCCTTAACATCAACATCTGTACATATCTCCTTTGCCTTTTTCCCTCTCATTATGAGCACTCATAGGAATGAAAATCACAGAAATTAATGGGACTATACTTCCAAGAATGCAAAAGGGCTTGTTTCTTTGTATAAAATCTGCCAGACACTTGGGTCTTCTTGACAAAAGATTTTGTGAAAGATGCTGCAAAAAATGATATTTATACATATGTTTACGGTGTGCTTGGACAAATTCTTGGAAAAGATTCTCTGATGTTTACAAAAAAAGACTAATCATGCACGGTTCAGAAAATCAGTAAGCTGAAAATGGTCATAGGGTGGCAAAGTTAAACAAGTAAAATGCACATATATGCTTGCTCTTGTACTTCTCTAGGCATTAACTTATACCATCTGGACCAGTAAAAATACTGGATTTGATGTACCCAATCAGTTTGATTGTTTTCACACACTTTACTTCAGTATTTTGTGTTGTCTTTCGTACTGTTTCATAAGATATATAGCTACTGTGTTCTGTACAACATGGCTGACAGGAATGCATTATGTTATATTTCAGATATGCTACAAATGACAGAGTGTATCTAAAAACCACTGGGAAATGCAAGCAACCTATGAAGTGGACCTAACAAAATAAATTTAAAAAAGGAAAATGTATGAAATTACTAGACAGCTAATTATGACTTTTTAAGAAATATCCATATAACTGTTGAAAAACAAAAACTTAAAGCATTATAAATCCAGTATCAGAAAAAAAGTTATCCATTGGAGTAGTCTTTCTTCCACTACCATTCTCAACATCAGAAACTGCAGTAGAAATTCCTGCATATGATGCCAATTCTTTTTTCTGCCAAGACCTTGATTTGCTCTTTCCACACATACAGACACATAAGTTTCATGATTTGAGTAAAAAAATTAACCGCCCAGTGGTTTTATCCTCCAACTTTATGGCATTCACCACAGCTCACCCTGCTCATGTTGCCAAGAATGTAACCATGCAAGTGACAACTGACACAACAGAAAAGACATCCAGAAGTAAAACACTTTAAGTCAATGCTTTCTTTACCAACATGGATGACATGAATGTTGCTAAAGCTTTAACCAGGGAACTGGGTCACATCACTCTGGTAATTTTTCTGGTAAAACTACCCTTTTAGGTCTTTTACCTTGTTCATATGAAATTTAAAATTCAATGAAAACACAAATCCTCAAACATTTCCATGTACTAGAATACCAGCTAAATAAACGTACCCATATTTGCTGGATAGATAGAATGAAAGATGCTTATAAAAGTATCTTTTACTATCAAATCAATTAAATGCATTGCTATGTATTGTTATTAGATTGTTCATACCTGTGTCCCATTTTAATGCTTCTGATTGAAAAGGCTAGTGATGCAAGTTTTATTAATTCAAGATTGTTGTGTTATAAACTTAAATCTCTGTCAGTTAAGCCGTTGTTCCTATATACTTTAATATTTTCTCAATATTTTCTAGTAAATAGTTTTTACAGCTATAATGGTTACACAGGGTCCTGGAAATCAGAGTAAATCGATCAACGTTTTGAAAATGCTTCTGTGGTATATAAAAGCAATTTCAGTTTGTTCCTGTAGGGACAGGTGAAGTGGGGTGGTTGCAGGGCACGCCACACAAATGTCAGGTTCTTGTATGTCAAAGATGTCAAGACTGGTAAAACGTGTTGGTGGAATATTTGAGGATACAGACCAGTACACAAGGAACGGTCACGAGGGAATGCCATGGTTTACATGGATTACAGGCAAGCATTACTAGCTGCACTGACTGCAGCAGCTGTGTATAGAGCTTCAGAGATACTTTGCTGCGTAGTAAAGGGTTGCAGACAGGGATGCACTGGGACTAGAGATATAAAGCTGTGGCCACTAGATGTGTGGGCACTGTGTACACAAACAGCCTCAAGGTCTCCTATCCCCCAAGAATACTTCACCTCAACATAGGCAAGAATTTCTTAATGTATACATTGAGGGTGGCAGAGTTCTGGAACAGGCTGCCCAGGGAGGTTGTACAGTCTCCCTCTCTAGTGACATTCAAAACCCACCCAGACGTGTTCCTGTGTCACCTGCTCTAGGTGACACTTCCTTGGCAGAGGGGTTGGACTAGGTGATCTCCAGAGGTCCCTCTCAACCCTGAAAATTCTGTATACACCTAGAACAAGCAGACACAGCCTGTCAGGAACGCAGTCGGCTACCACACCTAAGCGGTAACCTCCCTGGCGGTGTTTAAATAAAGACTGGATGTGGCACTCAGCGCCATGGTCTAATTAACACGGTGGTGTTCGGTAACAGGTCGGACTCGGTGATCTCAGACGTCTTTCCCAACCCAGTTGATCCTGTGACTCTGTGCCAGCAGGGCACCCGCGGCCCCATCGCCCGCACTCAGGTCGCAAAGGCCACGTGGGCCGAGAGCGGCCACTGGGCACGCCGGGGCCTTAGCTGGGCCCCCCGCAGAAGCCCGGCGACCGGCGGGACAGGCCCAGCGGCGGCCGCATTCCCCCTTCCACCACCGCCGCCTATCGCTGGCGACCCGTTCCCGGCCCCCCTCCCCTTCGCCCTCCTCCTCCTCCTCTCGCCCCGGGAAGATGGCAGCACGGGCCCGCAGGCGGAGAGGGAGCGTAGATACCTCCGCCATCTTGGGGCGGGCGGGACTGCGCCGCCGGGCTCCTCCCGCCGGGCCTCCACCGGAAGTGGCGTCAGTGGCCCCCGCGCGGCCCCGCCCCCCGCGCGGGCCTCGCGCCGCCGCTGCGCTCCCCTCTGCCCTCCCTCCGCACTCCCGCGCGCGCACCCCCGCGCGGGCACAGAGCCGGGTGGGCGCGCGCCCCGGGCCGGGCGGGAGCGGGCGGGAGGGGGGGGGTTATCGCCCACGCCCGCGCGCGCCGGCCGTTACCGCAGGCTCCGCCCCTTCCGGGGCGCGCGGCCGCGCCGCCGCCCCCGCCTCCCTCCGTCCGCCTGCCGGTCCCTCCCTCCGCGCCCGCTCTCCCTTTTGTGAGTTATAGCAACCGTTGCCTTGTGAGTCGAGCGCCATAGTCACCGTAGTCCTGGCGACTGTTACCCATCAACAACAGCCGCTCCGCGCCCGCTCCTGCTCCTCCTCCTCCTGCCGCTGCTCCGCACCCCCCGCCTCACCGTCACCCACCACCACCACAACAACAACAACAACCGCAGCCGCCGCCAGCACCAGCAGCGACAGCGGGAGCGCCGCCGCAGCCCGCCCCGGCACAGGTGAATGCGCTCGGCGGGCGCTCCCCGGCCCTCCCTTCTGTTCCTCCTCGTCCTCCTCCGCGCGGCATCCAGGCCCGGGATGCGCCCTCGCGGCTCTCCCGTGCTCGCGGGGCGCGCGGGGCACCCCCGGCCTCCCCCCCGGTCTCCCCCGGCCCCGGGAGCGAGGCGGGGGGCGGGAGCGGGGTGCGGGCACGGCCGAGGGTGCCGGGGCGGGCAGCGGGGAGCGGGGCCGGCCCCGCGCGGGTGAGCGGCAGCACAGGCTGGGCGATGCTGCGGGACCTCTGGGACAATCGCTAGGATGCGGTGGGTGTGCGTCCGGCTCGGGTCTCTCGATCGTACGGGTCGAGAGATGGAGAAATCGGCCGCAGGCGAAGGCTGTTGGCTTTAAAGCCGAAAAAAAGCCGGTTGAGGTTGGGAGGAAAGATGCAGCCGGAGACGGATCCTGTAGCACAGCAAGAGCAGGGGTTGTTTTTCCCCTTTAGCGTACAGGGGCCTTGTTCTGATTTAATGTGACTACTAAATGTTGCAGGATTTTGTGAACTTGCTGTATCTTTTAATGATAGCCTCCTACCGTCGATCATATCAGCTACTCTTTTTTTTTTGGTGCTTTCTGTATGAATTTTTTTCTTTTATTCATAATTAGTGTTGCTGTTTATTTTAGTGCAGTCTGCATTTTCTTTGTATTGTGAAGTGCGTTTTTGTTTATTCATACCCCCACCCATACACACACGGAGTAGCAGGTTGGTTTTTTTCTTATCGCACTCCTTTTGCAGGGAATTGTTTTTTAAATAGTGCTTTCATGCTGCCAGTGTAGTATGGGACTGTGCATGTGTAGGTCTAGTGTATTGCACGAGTTACGTTCATGTGGAGAGAATCCATTTCAGTTTCCTTAAACTCTCCACAATGATGGCAATTCAAGATGCTGACTGCAAGTTTCAGTGCTGAGGATCAAAGAAAGGAGAAAACAAGAAATAGTATTAAAACAAAGTCTCTGTGATTTTGCTATTGCTGTTGTGTTCCAAGAGTGTGTTTGGAAAAGAGGGAAGAGGCAGCTTTTTACCTCTCGAGATGTAATAGAAATCGTATTATTAATGAGTATGGTTTGCTTTGTATTTTCAATCCCAAATGCTTGTTTTCTTCATCCTTTTTGTAACTGCTTATTAGGATCTAAAGAGTTGTGTTGTCAGTAATGTCAAATCATACTGCATTATACTTTTTGAATTCTTTGGATGAACTGAATTTTAGGCATCTTTTATGGCAGTGAAATTTTCTTAACATCTCCATATCTAGTTGCACTCTCTCCTTTGACTTGTCAAATCATGTATTGTTTTGGCAAGCTTTTTTACTTTTGAAGTGGTAACTTGTTTATTTAGTATAATAATTAGAAGAAAATTATATTCTCATTTTTAATCTAAACCCTACATTTTAATTGTATATACATGTTTTCCATTTTTTTATCTTTAGAACCCTGTGTAAAATGCAGGATTTCTCATTACAGTTTCAGCTACAAGATGCTTATTTTGTCTCACATTGGAACTACCAACGAATGTGGCAATTTTTTAAAGCGAGTATTGACTACAAAATCTGCTAAGTAGTTAGTGCATTGTTGATACTAATATTTCTTGAGGTAAGGCACATTAGATCTGTCTTTTCTTTTTAATGTATATTTCATGGGCCTACAATGACTTAGGAAATAAATTATTTTGACTAATGATCAAAAGTCTTTACGTCATCATTATTTTATTATTTTGCTCAAGGATTAAACCACTCCATGCTGATTTTCTAGGTCCTACCGTCAAATATGTTAAAGACATTAATAATTTTTAGTGCGAGTTTTAGGGTAGTATCAGTTATATGGCACGCTTAGATCTTGATGCATTTGTTATTATTTTCTTGGTTCATTGGTTTTTAAATAATTTCTGGCATCTACTGTTGTTGAAAAGATGTCAGCTCTGCACCATATCTTTCTTGAGCAGTCCTCTTGGAGTGGGACAGAATACTACTCAGGATTGGGTCGTTCCCTGGGTGTTGAAATCTCTTTGCAGAACATGTATCCAGGCTGCTGGGTAGCAAAGGAAAGTGCGTGCGTGTCTGTGAGACAAACTTTGTTTTAACTCTGTGAGGAGGCGTACAGGTCTTAAAAATTGTGTTAAAAGCACATGATTTTGTCTAAAACCAGCAACCTTTGTAGTACTATTTAGCTCCATTTTCTTTAGCCAGTGACTGCAATTTGGAAAATAATACTTTAGGTATCTGAGAAAAGTACTGACTCCTTATTATCACTGAGATACTGTAATGACCACAGATGAGATCCTCATTATGCATTCTGATTCCCTAATGCCCACAGCTAACAAAATAGTTGGTGTTTGTGATGCTAACCAGTGTTTGAAAATCAGTTGGCTTGTGATTTTTTTTTTTTTTTTAACACGTAGGTTTTCATGACTTATGTGGTGTAACTACCTAATGGTTTTTCAGTGTATCCAAATGAGCCAGTCAGGATTTTACGCTCTGTTGTGTTACTAGTGAGCTAAACCTACATTGTGCTACTGTGGAGAAACCCTTTCAGTAATGTAGTGTAGGTAAATGAAATGGGAATCAAAGGTACAATGCCATTAAAGAGTTCAAAGTCACGGTGCTTTATTTGATAATTAGGTTCAGCTTTGTTAGCCCTATCCCATTTCTTGTTCCTGCCTGATAGGGTAGTTTGTTAATCACAAAACTGCCTACAGAAATAAATATTGCAGTTTCTTTCCATTTACTAAACTTTATATTGAGAAGGAAGGCTTTATCATTGCAGTTCTTTTTAGTGTTCTAGCTAGTGTTTCTGATTTTCATGCTTTATTTTGAGAGGCTCTCTTTGCTCTTAAAAAATTCTCTATTAGTTGTATTTTTACCTGCAGTCTCCAAAAGCTTACCATCTGCAGGTAAGTGTCATGAGGAATGCTTAAAAAATGAATAGGCTTTAAAAAATACATGACTATTAAAATACTTTTTAAAAATAATTTTCAGTTGAAAAGACATGTTGTGAATGCCCTACAAATACAAACAGAATAAAAAATAAGCTTTCAGTGGCAATGTAATATGCATGTAGTGGGAGTTCCATTTCAAAATCAAACTCCTTGTCAAATGAATGTGTTAGAACAAAAGAGCAGAATGTTTTGAAATTATCAATGAAAATGCTTATTTTTTTATTAAGAATTAGGGCTGAAAAAATTAGTGAGGCTTTTAAAATGAATAGGCTAACGGTTAAGAAATTTTTTTCTTTAGCCACAAATTTATTATTTATGTATTTTGCCTACAGTTTGTTGTCAATCATAACAATACTTCTCTTTTCTCACAGATGCTATTGTACCCATATTTTGGAAATTTAAGGATCAGTACATACACTGATTTGGCTAAATCTAGTTTGTTAGAGACAGATGGCTGATTTAAACAGGTGTCACTTTCATTTCTTTTGCCTTGTGTTGAGTCTTCCAGAGGTTTACAAAAGAGCTGCCTAAAGCAGATGGTGATCTCCACTTCTGTGATTAGCAAAATGTACTTTTGTAAGAGATTATTTTCCTAGTGACTAGGTGTATTTAATAGTTTGATGTGTCATATCAGAGTTTGTGTTTTGTTAAAATGTCATATCAGAGTATGAACTGTTCCATGCAGTATAAGCGTCATTTTTTTAATTCTTTTCTCATTGGACTTTGAAAAGAGATTATTTGGGTGTGAAATTTAGCAGGTTTTGAGTGTGTGGATAGGTGTAGTCCTAATAATTGTCATTCTTGCAAGTCCAAGAGCAGATACGTTGCTTCGTGTAACATTTTGTTTCATTAACTTATTTACCTTTTTTTACTTAAAGAATATTCCACTTTAGAATATTTTTTAATAAAAATGACCTATTATTAAGAGCACAGAATTAGCTTCAAACTTCTGTCTTTTTTAGAATTTTTTTTCTGGTACCCTTCTGTATTAGCACACCTGCAGTTTTCTTTCTTTTAAATTTTTTTTATTCAGCACTTAAAATTTCCTCAGTTACAAAAGATTTTAATAAGAAAGCATGAAAAAGAAGTTTGTTTTCTGATAATTCTTTTGTGTTTTTGTTTCTAAGGGTTTCCTTTTTCTTTTTTTAATGTTCTCTTTTTTGTAACAATGACTGGTGTTTATTGTTAGTTGTTTTCTTTCAAGTAGATGCACCAGAGGGTGCTATGCTATTTGAAATACAAAACTGAAAGCAAATTCTAAAAATTCTTTCATTGAAATACATTGATAATGCATATGGGATTTGAATAAACCTTACTGAAATTTTCCCACTTTCCTCTGTGCAGTGCAATATAGCAAACTTAATGTGTTGACAATATTATGCTAAAAATCATAGATGATATTGGCTGCTCCATATCTGATTATGTCTGTGTGTGTAGATATACACACACACTTAAAATACAATTTCTGTTCACTGAAAGAGAACAAAGATTTGTATGTAAATTATGTCTTTATCACATATAGCTCAAACAGTGTATACTTATTGAAGTACTGCATGAACTTGCCCGAGAGACGTATGTATTTTGGAGTGACTTTAATTTGTATGTTATATTTTTCATTTATAAGTTCATATTCACAGTTCATGTAACTTGTTCATTTATACCTGAATCCTTTTTAAAAAATGCATTGCTGCATATAGATTTTCTTTCTTTCTTTCTTTCTCACTGCAACTCTTCATGGAAGAAACTGAGGTTGAGCCATACCCGCATACTCCTGAATTGCAAAAGAGGCGGGATATTTTTCTCCATCAATCATTAGTTCTGGGAAAGAAAACCACCAACCCCCTACCACTCAAAACAAAACAAAAAACCAACCAAACAAAACCCAAACCAAACCCCAAACAACCCCAGGCTCTAGAAATTTACAAATACCACTGCGTTTTATTTCAGAAATTTCTCTGTGGATATAAGGACCTCAGAGATTAGAATTTAGTTGTAGTAACTTCTGTAGTTTAGTAATACCTATTTTTTTAT